CAATGCAAAATGGAGTTTTAGGCTTCTGGGTGAAAAAGATATTTCTAGTGACAGATGGCTTCCTAGCAGATTTCTACCAACATTTAAGAAGAGTTAATACTTAGTCTTTTGAAGCTGTTCCAATAAATAAATAAATAAATAAATAAATAAATAAATAAAATGAAAGGAAAACTTCCAAACTCATTCCATGAAGTCAGCATTACCTTGATTCTAAAACCAAAGAAAGACCACTAAAATGGAGAATTACAGACCAATCTTTCTGATAACCATGGATACAAAATTCTCAACAAGATACTAGTAAACCAAATCCAACAATACATTAAAAGAATTATTCACCACAATCAAGTGAGATATTCCTGGAATGTAAGGGTGGTTCAGTATCCTCAAATCAATCAATGTGATACACCACATTAATAAAAGAAAGGATAAGAACCACATGATCTTCTCAATAGATGCTGAAAAGGCATTTGACAAAATACAGCATCCTTTGTTGATAAAAACACTCAGGAAAGTAGGGATAGAAGGAGCATACCTCAAGATCATAAAGGCTATATACAAAAGACCCAGAGCTAATATCACTCTCAATGGAGAAAAAAGTTAGAGCTCTCTACCTAAGGTCAGGAACACGACAGGAATCTCCACTCTCACCACGTTTGTTCAACATAGTGTTGGAAGTCCTAGCTTTGGCAATCAGACAACAAAAAGAAATATGAAGCATCCAGATTGTCAAAGAAGAAGTCAAACTTTCACTCTTGGCTGATGGCATGATACTCTATGTGGAAGACCTGAAACACTCCATCAAAAATTGTTAGAGCTGATGTATGAAATCAGCAAAGAGGCAGGATATAAAATCAATGTGTAGAGACTGTTTGTAATTCTATACACCATGATGAAGCAGCAGAAAGAGAAATTAAGAAATCGATTCCATTACAAATGCACCAAAACCCATAAAATTCCTATGGATAAACTTGATAAAGAGGTAAAAGAACTGTACGCTGAAAACTGTAGAAAGCTTATGAAAGAAATTAAAGATAACAGTAAAATAGAAAACATTCCATGTTCATGGATTGGAAAACAAATAATGTTAAACTATTGACAGTGCCCAAAACAATCTACATATTCAGCGGAATCCCTATCACCAGTATTCTTCACAGAGCTAGAACAAACAATTCTAAAATTTGCATGCAACCAGAAACGATCCCAAATGGCCAAAACACTCCTGAAAAAGAAAATCAGAGCTGGAGACATCATGATTCTGGACTTCAAGCTGTATAACAAAGCTGAAATCATCAAGACAGTATGGTACTGACACAAAAACAGACACATAGATCAAGGGAACAGAATAGAGAGCCCATGAATGGAGTCACAAATGTATGGCCAACTAATTTTTGACAAAACAGGAAAGAATATCCAATAGAAAAAGACAACCTCTTCAGCAAATGGTGTTGGGAAAACTAGACGGCAACATGTAGAAGAATAAACCTGGACCACGTTCTTACACTATGCAGAAAAATAAACTCAAAATGGATGAAAGACCTAAATGTGACACAGGAAGCTATCAAAATCCTACAGGAGAAAACAGGCAACAACCTCTTTGGCCTGGGCCACAGCAACTTCTCATTAGATACGTTTCTGAAGGCAAGGGATAGAAGGCCAAAAATGAACTATTGGGACTTCATCAAGATAAAAATCTTCTGGACAGCAAAGGAAACAATCAACAAAACTTAAAGTCAACTGATGGAATGAGAGAAGATATTTGCAAATGACATAGTGGATAAATAAAGGGTTAGTATCCAAAATCTATGAAGAAATTCTCAAACTCAACACACAAAAAACAAATAATCCAGTGAAGAAATGGGTAAAAGACATGAACACTTTCCCAAAGAAGACATCCCAATGGCTAACAAACACATGAAAAGATGCTCAATATCAGGTATCATCCGGGAAGTAGAAATCAAAACCACAATGAAGATATCACCTCACACCTGTAAGAATGGGTAAAATGAACAACTCAAGCAACAGCAGATGTTGGCTAAGATGTGGAGAAAGAGGAACTCTTTTGCACTGCTGGTGGGACTCCAAACTGATACAGCCATTCTGGAAAACAGTATGGAAGTTCCTCAAAAAATTAAAAATGGAACTACCCATGACCCAGTGATTGTATTACAAGGTATTTATCAAAAGGATACAAAAATGTGGATTTGAAGGGGGCACATGCACACCAATGTTTATAGCAGCACTACCAGCAACAGTCAAATTATGGAAAGAGCTCAAATATCAATCAGCTGATGAATGGATAAAGAAGATGTGGTATGTATATTATATTATATATGATTAAATATTGCTCGACAATCAAAAAGAATGAAATCTTACCATTTGCAACAATGTGGATAGAACTAGAATGAATTATGCTGTGTGAAATGAACCAGTCAGAGAAAGATAAATATATAATTCCACTCAGATGTAGAATTAAAAAACAAAACAGATGAACATAGGGAGAGGAGAATAAAATAGAGAGGGAAGCAAACCATAAGAGACTCTTAAAGTGAACAGAATGAGAGTTGCTGCAGAGGAGGGTGGGGGAATGGGCTAAATGGGTGATGGGCATTAAGGAGGACCCTTATTGGGATGAGCACTGGGTGTTCAAGGCAAACGATGAATCACTGGGTTCTACTGCTGAAACCAATACTACACTGTAAGTTAACTAATTGAATTTAAATAAATAAAAAATATTTTAGGTAGTTTATTGTCAAGTTGGTTTCCATATAACACCCAGTGTTCATCCTCACAAATGCCCTCAAAACCCTTTGTCTTCCTGATAGTTTAGCCAAAACCATTAGGAATTTCATAGTTAGATCACAAGTTGAAACTGTTGTTTACTCCCTCCTGATGAAGTGTTTATTAAATATAAGAGATACATTTAGATTTTCTGCAGCATAGACTAGCTTAGCACACTAAAGGGATTCTGATTTAATTTTTAGAAAAGTAAAATCTATGAAGTAGTACTTTCATGAGCTCTATTTTCTATTGTAGAAATGTGGCTCAGAGGAATTCAATGTTCTGCTCAAAGGCATAAACCAGGCAGGGATGTAGTCTTAATTGGAATGATGTCGGGATGCTTCCGGTTCTGACGCTCTGAGAAGTGGTTCTCAACCAGAGTTGTTCTTGGGGTATTTGCCCATGACTGAAGGGATGTCGTTGAATACCTTCATCCACAGGACAGCACCCAACAAAAATAGTTATCCATCTCCAAGGGTCAACGGTGAGAAGGTGAGAAAACCTGTTCCACACTAAGGCTTCTCCAACCTCACTGTGCACACAATTCACCGGGGACTGTAGTTGAAATGCAAATTCTGATTCATCAGGTCCCCAGGGGCCCCAGTGACTCTGCTTCTCTAACAAGCTCCCCGGTGGTGCTGATGCTTCAGGTCCTGGTCTGTGGAGCACAGCTTGAGAGCAAAGCTGTGGTCTTGTGTTAGAAGAAATTTAAGTTATAATTGAAGTTATTGAGATGGCAATACTACCCAAAGATCTACAGATTCGATGACAATTTGAAGATAACAATAATGCTTGTTATCTTGGAAAAAAATTTTATTTTATTTTATTGTTTTAAAAATATTTTATTTATTTTTGAGAGAGAGATAGAGAGAGCATGAGCACGGGAGGGTCAGAGAGAGAGGAGACACAGAATCTGAAACAGGCTCCAGGCTCTGAGCTAGTTGCCAGCACAGAGCCCAATGCGGGGCTCGAACCCACAAACTGTGAGATCATGACCTGAGCTGAAGTCTGACGCTTAACCGACTGAGCCACCCAGGTGTCCCTGGAAAAAAATTTTAAAACCATCCTAAAATTAATCTTAAAAACTACCAAGCATGAACACAGGATGCCATCCCATTTATTTATGTATTCTTTAGTTTCTTTCAGGACCATTTTATGGTCTTTATTTATAAGTCTTTTGGCTGCAATAGGTAACCAATCATTCACCCCAGTGAATGAATCCCCTTAAACACCGCCACTGGCATTCCATACTTGGTCGAGAGATGTACAGCTTGAAAAGAAATATGGGGTACAGTAATACAAAGGACAATTTAAAATTTGCTTTATCATATTTGAGGTCATCTTTGACTCCAGGGCCATATTAAGTCGTTCTACTTATTTGAATTTCCTTTTCTGTATAGACTCTATTGGTAGGTATGTATTTGATAATCAGTTTTCCAGTGACTAATGTAAGCAAAGGGTACATACAGCCTGAGAAGAGAACAGGATCCTAATTCAGAGAATAAAACCAATGGCCTGTTATAAAACACACTTGTATGTTCATCAGGAAGAGGAGGTAAGGCAGTGATACACAAAGGAATTAGAGACACAAAATGAAAGACCGTGGCCTCAGATTTAGAATGAAGGGAAGGGAAGGAAGGGAAGGAAGGGAAGGGAAGGGAAGGGAAGGGAAGGGAAGGGAAGGGAAGGGAAGGGAAGAGAAATGGCCTCTTGTCAAATTGAATTTATTCCATCAGAATGGTATCAAATGACTATTCTTTTAGGAAAACTAAAGACATATTACACGGGGGTGATTTTTGTCTTTTGGGAAAAAATTATTCTTAAGGAATCCAAGTAGTTTCATTAGATAAATGGGAATCCCTAATTTTTCCATATCACAGGTTGGGACTCAATTTACACACAAAAGATCTGTATACTGAATACTATAGAAGGTTTATGAAAGAAATTGAGGAAGACAAAAAGAAATGGAAAAACATTCCATGCTCAGCAATTGGTAGAAATAAAGGAAGAAAATGAAGGAATAAAGGTTGCAGATCAGAGAAAGGTAAAAAAAAAAAAAAAAAACACTTAAAAAATAAGTAACTAAATTTCACTGAGTAGCTGAAAAATTAAAAATTCCAGGAAATAAGTAAAAGCAATCTCTATGTCCACACTTTGCTTAAACACAGACACACATACACACACACACACAATTTCTTACTCTAAGACCATGAGGCCTGCAATCATGGGAAATTCTTCAACCCCAGGACAATTGGACCTTTTATAGCTACCATCCCAGAGAATCTCATCAGAGCCTCCTTTATGTCTTTGTTCCTCAGGCTGTAGATGAAGGGGTTCAGCATGGGTGTGATCACCGTGTACATCACCGAGGCTGTTGCACTTGAGTGGGAGCTCTGGGTAGCAGCGGAGCTAAGGTACACTCCCAGGCCCGTACAATAAAATAAGGAGACAACCGAGAGGTGAGACGCACAGGTGGAAAATGCTTTATACTTGCCCTGCGCTGATGAGATCCCACGTATGGAGGAAACTATCTTAGAGTAAGAGTAAAGGATCCCAATGAAGGGACCACCAGCCATGAGCATAGCTGCAAGATACATCACCAAGTTATTGAGAAAGGTGTCAGAACAGGCAAGTTGGATCATCCGATTGAGTTCACAGAAAAAGTGAGGGATTTTCACCTCTGTGCAGAAGGACAGCCGCAACACCATTGAGGTTTGTAACAAGGAATGCAAGACACTCGTGACCCAGGACACCAGAACCATCCGCCCACAGAGCCGGGGATTCATGATGACCATGTAGTGCAGGGGGTGGCAGATGGCCACAAACCTGTCATAGGCCATCACGGTCAGGAGATAGATGTCCAACCCTGAAAAGATTAAGAAGAAGTTCATCTGTGTGATGCAGCCCACATAGGTTATGACTTTGCTCTGAGTCTGGATGTTCCACAGCATCTTGGGGACGGTGGTGGAGGTGACGCAGATGTCCACAAAGGACAGGTTGGCGAGGAAGAAGTACATGGGCGTGTGGAGGTGGGAGGCAGAGCTGACGGCCAGGATGATGAGCAGATTCCCAAGCACAGCGATCAGGTACATGGAGAGGAAAAGCCCAAATATGAGGGGCTGCAGCTCTGGTCCCTCTGAAAATCCCAGAAGCAGAAATTCTAATATTCGGGTATTATTTCCTGGTTCCATGAGGTTCAACTGACCAGCAGGAAAGAGGGAAAAGATACCATTAATTTTCACATGAGGGCGTTACTCACATAATTGAAAAGCTACAATTTATGTTTTGCAGTCAAGAAGTTAATTGCAGTAGCTTGTGTACTGATTATCCCCTTGAAGGGATTCCCTCCCATTTAACCTCTGATTAAGAATTTTAGCCTCATTCTCTGCATTCTCCAACAGAGGTAATGCATGGCGCTGTTTTACTAAGGATATCTTTCCTGCATTGGAAGAATATATACTATCAAACATGCTCCAGGCATTGTCTAGGTTTTCAGGATACTGAAAACCAAAAGCCATTGTAATCTAGTGATGGAAAATGAATAGAAACAAATAATACTAATAAGTCATCAGAAGGTGTTAAGAACTTTGAAGAAACAAGAGTAGGTATAAAGCAGAGTGTGGTTATGAGTATTACTTTGTAATCGGTGTTTGGTCAAGACTAGTAAAGGGGCGCCTGGGTGGCTTAGTCGGTTAAGCGTCCGACTTTCGCTTAGGTCATGATCTCGCGGTTCGTGGATTCGAGCCCTGCGTCGGGCTCTGTGCTGACTGCCAGCTCAGAGCCTGGAGCCTGTTTCCGAGTCTGTGACTCCCTCTCTCTCTGACCCTCCCCTGCTCACACTCTCTCTCTCTCTCTCCTAGAAATAAATAAAACATTTTAAAAAATTAAAAAAAAAAAAGACTAGTAAACAGGTGACCTTGGAACAGAGACCTCAGGGAAAGGAGGGCAGGAGCCATGAGCATGTCTGGGGAGGTGTGTGCTGGCAGAGGGAATGGCCTCTGCTAAGTCCCTGAGGATGATACTACTTTGAGCCATTTGAGTCCAAAACAGGAAGCATGTGTGGGAAGGGGAATTACCAGGAGAGAGATCAGAGATGGGATCAGGCAATTTCAAAGAAATAGGTGGCCTCGCTGCTGGTTACCCTTCAAGAGAAAGGATTCCCTCACCCACACTATATACCTCTTGTATTTTAGAATCTACTTGCAAATGCTCCTGTATATTGACATAGAACTCTTGCTGAAAACCATGTGTTGGTTGGGTTCCGGCCTCTGTGTTATAAGAGTCATCTTGAAATATATTAGACCATGTACCTCTGCTCTGAGGACGTATCCCATTCCACAAGGTGTGTGCATGTGTGTGCACACACACACCCCTAATCATTGCTCCCTGGGCTGTGTTCTTTTTTTTTTTTTAATTTTTTTAATGTTTTATTTATTTCTAGGGGAGAGAGAGAGACAGCGTGAGCAGGGGAGGGTCAGAGAGAGAGGGAGTCACAGACTGAAACAAGCTTCAAGCTCTGAGCTGGCAGTCAGCACAGAGCCCGACGCCGGGCTCGAACCCACGAACCGCGGGATCATGACCTAAGCGAAAGTCGGACACTTAACCGACTAAGCCACCCAGGCACCCCTGGGCTGTGTTCTTTACATGAGTTCTCAATCCCCGCCCCAACAATTAAGCTCTGAGTGCCTATAAGTCAAGATGCCCAGATTCGTTATCATTGCCCCAAACAATGTAAAACGGTACCTCAGTTCCAATGAGCAGGCTTCCCAAGAACAAATAAAATCAAGAAGTCAGACCGGCATGCTCATTTTCGGTCCTGTATTTAAAGAAACACAATCTGCTCAAAATCAGACAGAGAGAGAGATAAAGAAATAGAAGTGGCATGAAGGGTCCAATCGTTCAGGTGGTCGCTGAAACCTGAGGGGCCGTGGAGAAGGAAGAGGCTCCCTGGTTCTGACAACATTCCAACTTTTGTTACCTCCCTGAGACCCAGCACAGATAATAAGGAGCAAAATTAAATTCGGTCAGAAGACAAAATTAGTGGGATCTTCAGGGTGTCGATCGCCTTACAGACTGAATGCCCCAAGAGAAAAGTGTGCTAAGGGAATAAACCAACGCGTCAGCACAGGAAATATGCAAAGTCCAGCAAACGTCGGGCAGGTTATAATGAAGCAGTAGGAGACTTGTTTTTCTCTGTGCCTGTTTCATATTTACGTGACCATTTGGATACCTTGTGATCTTAGAGAAGGTGCACAAGTCCCTTTCTCTTTTCAGATGTGGCATCTTTTCTTTGTTTCTCCTGGGCTTTGTGTTGTGATCTCTTTTTTTCACCAGAGCAGTGGGCACCCCCGGGCCTGATTCTGGTCTTTGCACAACACCTCCAGATCTGTTCAGACCTTGCTCTACAAAACTCTGCAGGCACCATAACAGTTTGTCTCTGGCTCAAATAATGATCTTCTTAAGATTTATGCCTGAGACTCTACACCACACACACATTTCGTTCTACCGTGACTCTGCCATATAAGGCAAGTACCAAAGGAGCAGGGCCTTCCCTGACCTTGTTCCCTGTAGGTTTTCAGAATGGCACGGTCAGGCAAGCAAGTGACCATGGAGATCTCTAGGTTCTGGGCTCTGCTGGTGGCTGTGAGGTGACCTCCAGAAAAGGCATCTGGCTTTGATTCCTTCTGATCCTTTCCTGCAAGATCGGCTGGGCTCTCAGCCTCACCTGGCTGGGAGCTCTGAGGGAGAGGTATCCCTGTGGCAGTCTGAATTCCCCGTCCCCGGATGGTTATTGGTGGCGACCAAACTCTGTCACCATGCAAGACAGCAGGAAGGAGGCCAGCATGAGTCTCCCAGCCAAGCTTCGGACTCCAGAAGCAACAACCAGGTCCCATCAGCCCGAGGTGGCACAGGCAGAGAGACTGTGCACAGGAGATATTTATAGTTTCCTCTTCTGTTGATGAAGTACGTTTCCCTTCTGCTCCTCCAATCTATAGCACATGGTTTCCCTGGGGGACAGTGGCGTGGGCACATTGGAAAACTTTCCTGGAGATTCTGTGTTCCCAATAGACCAGGTTACAACCCAGCGAATCCAGGGTTGATGAATCCTTCCTTGTGAACACCACTGCTCCCCGAGTACAGACCTCCAAGCACCTTATTCCAACCCTGATTTCGACATTTCTCCCCAAATCTAGACTAGCAATCTGTCTGGATCAGACTCTTTGGATCTCCCAAATATCAGGCGTTAACTGAGTTCTGGCCTCTGTGTTACAAGAGTCACCTTGGAATACATCAGACCATGTACCTCTCATAGTGGAGGCATAGCCTTGCTGTCTACACAAAGTGCCTGTTTTCCTTTCCAACAAGGAGGGCAACTAAGTTCCTTGATATCAACCCTGAGCACTACATACCTCAGCGTCAGGGCACATTTGCCAAACAGCTTGGAATTTCATACTATGCCACAAGTTAAGAGCTGTTGTTTAGCCCCTCTTTGTGAAGCTTTTGTTAGTTATATGGCATATATTTAGATATTTTTTGTAGTATAATATAAGCTTGGAATAGAAAAGTAAACAGATTCTTCCTTGTAGTTTCCAGAGGGAACCAAGCCTTGCAAACATCTTCATTTTAGCTCAGTGAGTCACTCCGGCTTCTGATCCACAGAATTACAAAAGTATAATGTGTTTTATTTTACATATATATATTATATTATGTTATGTTGTGTTATGTTATATTATATTGTATTATATATATATTTATATTTTTATTTATTTCTAGGAGAGAGAGAGAGAGCATGAGCAGGGGAGGGTCAGAGAGAGAGGGAGATACAGACTCTGAAATAGGCTCCAGGCTCTGAGCTGGCAGTCAGCACAGAGCCCGACGCGGGGCTCGAACCCATGAACCACGAGATCATGACCTAAGCGAAAGTCGGACGCTTAACCAAGCCACCCAGGCGCCCCTATATTGTGTTATATTATGTTATGTTGTATTATATTATATTATATTATATTATATTATATTATATTATATTATATTATTCTATTCTAATCTATTCTATTTTATTTTTGAGATAGAGAGAAAGGGTACAAGTGAGCGAGGGGCAGTGAGAGAATCCCATTGTGGGGGAGAGATAGAGAGAGAGAGACAGAGACAGAGAGAGAGAGAAAAGGAGTGGGAGAAGGAGAGAAAGAACTGGGACTCCCTTCACTCGGGGCTCAAGATCATGAACCCTGAGATCACGACTGAGTCAAAACCGGATGCTTAATTGACTGAGCCATCCATGCATCCAGCGTAAATGTTTTAAAACAGGAATGTAGCCATTTTACATTAGCATTAGGACTTGAATACAAACATTTTCCCAATTGTTTTATTTTATTTTTTTAAGTTTTTAAAATTTATTTCTGAGAGAGAGAGAGACAGAGACAGAGACAGAGAGAGAAATACCGTGAGCAAGGGAGGGTCAGAGAGAGAGGGAGACACAGAATCCGAAACAGCCTCCAGGCTCTGAGCTGGCTGTCAGCACAGAGCCCAACGTGGGGCTCAAACCCACAAACGGTGAGATCATGACCTGAGCGGAGGTCAGACGCTTAACCAACTGAGCCACCCAGGCACCCCAATTTCCCAATTGTTAAGACCCTGAGATTAAGCTTCTTCATTCATTTAACTTCCCCTGGGTAAAAGCATTTTGTGTTGTAATCCCATCTTTAAGTAAGAGAAGACATTTTACTTATTTATTTATGTATTCATTCATTCATTTTATTTATTTATTTATTTTACAAATAGTTTATTGTCAGTTTCCATATAACACCCAGTGCTCATCCCCATAAGTGCCCTCCTCCATGCCCAACACTCTCCTTCCCCTCCCCCTCACCCGCATCAGTCCTCAGTTTGTTCTCAGCATTCAAGAGTCTCTCATGGTTTGCCTCCCCCGCTCTCCCTATTTCTACCCCCCTTCTTCTCCCCCGTGGTCCTCCATTAAGTTCCTCCTAATCCACCTATATATGCAAACATATGATAGCTGTCTTAAGAGAAGACATTTTAAATCAATTTGGAGGTAATTAATCTTCTTTAGCTAGTAGAGAATTTCTCAATGCATAAATGCAAACGTACTTCAGACTTTGACGTCTTTGAGGCATTACCACAGGAAAAGTAATTCATCATTTAAATATATGTCTCTCATTTACTTTAAATCTTTTTG